TAAGATTTTATTCATTCATGAGAGAGAGAGAGAGATAGAGAGAGGGGCAGAGGGAGAAGCAGGGCCCTGCAGAGCAGTGAGCCCAGCGCAGGACTCGATCCCAGGACCCTGGCTGGGATCATGACCTGAGCCGAAGGCAGACACTCAACCAGCTAAGCCACAAGGCCCCCCTAATTAAACTTTTTAGGGAAGTTTTCTCTGCATGGGGCTCCTGGCCGGCTCAGTTGGTGGAGCATGCCACTCTTCATCTCTGGATTGTGGGTTCGAGCCCCACATTGGGTGTAAAGATTACTTAAAATCTTCTTTAAAAAAAGTCTTCTCTGGAATCCAAATAAAATTTCTAATGATTTCACTTAATACAGGAATCAAAGTATCTCTCTCTGCAACATGGCACAGTGAATGGTGTGGCTCCCTCAAAGTTCATCATGTTTAGGGGCACCTGACTGGCTCAGTCAGTGGAGCATGCAACTCCTGATCTCAGGGTTGTGAGTTAGAGCCCCAAATTGGGAGTAGAGACTACTTTAAAAAATGAAATCTTAAAAAAAAAAAAGTTCATCATGCTTAACATGTTAAATGTTGGGCCTTCCAAATTTCCTTTCTGGACATTACATTGAAAAATGAGTTAAGAGGGGCGCCTGGGTGGCTCAGTTTGTTAAGCGACTGCCTTCGGCTTGGGTCATGATCCTGGAGTCCCGGGATCGAGTCCCGCATCAGCTCCCTGCTCGGCGGGAAGTCGGCTTCTCCCTCTGACCCTCCCCACTCTCGTGTGTGCTCTCTCTCATTCTCTCCCTTAAATAAAATCTTAAAAAAAAAATGAGTTAGGAAACTATTAATATAGTCAAGCTGAAAGATTTATAGATATGGCTAACTAAATCACATGTCAAAATAATGAGCTAACAACTAAGAACTCAGGAAATATTTGATGTTTGCTATTTAGACAAATCTGCATGGATTTCCAAGATGTAGTTTTCTGATAAATTATCAAAGTTTGAAATCCTGCCAAATATGGGACAGTGGAGCAGAACTGGTGTGATCTAATATAGCAAATCCTTGTTCTATTTTGGAGACTTTATTTCTATATTCCTAAGAACATGAAGCCAAGAGCTAGTATCAAAAAGTGTTAAAACAAGGGGTGGGGGGGAAGGGAAAATAAGGAGGTGAATAGAGTAAAATCATTAAGGGGCAGATTTGGAATTTTTTTAAGTTTTTATTTTAATTCCAGTTAGTTAACATACAGTGTTATATTAGTTTCAGGTGTACAATACAGTGATTCAACAACTGCAGAATTTTTTTATTGGTCACAACTTGGTGATGTACATAGTAAAAATTATTTGGGCATATCAATGTTGATACAAATTTGTTACCTTATCAATTGACAAATTGGTACACATTTTACAAGATTCTAGTAGACTCCTCCAGATACTGCTGGGAGAATAGACTGCCAGATGAAAGAACAAGGATCAATGAAATTACATTGTGATCTCCATGAAGACAGAATCCCTGTTTTATTCTCTATTATCCCCAGCAGGTAACATAGAACCTCATATATGACAGACAAATGTTAAGGGTTAGGGGGTTAGGAATCATTTTAAAGTCCTTTGTTATATTGAATTGTAAGGCAGTATCAAAAAACAAACAAACAAACCATAGCTATTTTCAATATTTAATACCAGGCAAATATGTACCCATAAAATCTAAACACAGCTGTCAAAAATTCATAATTTATCAGGATGCCTGGGTGGCTTGGTTGGTGACTCTTGGTTTCCGCTCAGGTCATGATTTCATGGGCCATGGGATAGGGCCCTGAGTTGGGCTCTGTGCTCAGCAGGGAGTCTGCTTGAAGAGTCTCTCCTTCTACTCCTCCCCTTTCTCTCTCTCAAATAAATACGTCTTTTTTAAAAAAAATTCATAATTTATCTTTTCAGTTTCTCATAAAAAACAAACAACCAAGCCTAATGCTACTTTCCATTGCCATTATACAACTCATCCTTAAATAATTAGCTTTGTTAACAATTAGAGTCAAAGGGGGAAAAAAAACCTATAATTTTAGTAAAAGGAGTAAAAAAGATATAAGCAGATGGATTCCGTGCAGACCAGACTCTAAGGGAGTAAAGCTGGCTAGCTCTGTGGCTTTTGTCCTATAAGCCAATTATGAAAGGAAAAGATCATTGGAACAGAAAACATTGAAAAAATACCATGGCATGAGTTACCATGAAGCCAGAAAGTCAGTTGTTTCTGCAAACCTATGATGTACACAGATACATATGCTACATGAATCTAAAATACATTATGCACAGGTATTTTGAGGTAGTATATTATTATTTAACAATCCTTAATATGACAAGCAGGAAAATTCCCAAGTAATGAAAGACAATTTCCTCAACATCTGTACCCAATCTCTCCTATTCAACCTCTTGAAACAACTGCACATGCCAGTAGAGTTAACATTAAACATTCCTATCACAATCTACTTCCAGATTTTAAAATAATATTAGATTGTAATTTCTCAAGGCTCTTTTCCCATATGCTTGACTTAATCACACTTGCAGAGAATACTCTTTGTAAACTAACCTGTCACTCTCTACACATCCACATCACTAAAATACACCCCCAGTTGTCAGTAAGAACATAACAAAATTCCTTCCTTTACTTTATGTTTAGTTTTCTCTCACTCTTCACATGTTGTTCCTGGGTACAGAAGATTTTCCTCCATCCTCTTTCACTCAGTTTAGGACTCTATGCCTGCTTCCCAGAGAAAGAGGACAAAAGCTACTTCTCAAACTGTAGAACAACCAGCTCTGTTCTCTCCCCCGCCCCAACCTGCTCCAGTGTTCATGATGTTCTTTCAGCTCATAGGGAAGGGAGAAGTTGAGAGATCAGTCTAGTGACTTACCCCAGTAGCAAATCCCAGGTGAATACAAACTCTCCCAAAGCAGAACTGGGAGAGATTTTTTTTTTAAAGCCATGTTTCATCCTGTGCCCCAAAACACTAATGCCTGAAGCTTGGTTGGCATTCATTGGTCTGAGGTAAAAAAAAAAAAAAAAAAATGTTCTCTTTAGTGTGTTTCTTCATATGATCAAGAAGGGGTAGAGGATTTATAAAACATTGCTAATAATTTCCCTCTGGAGAGGAAAAGGGGACTGAATGAGAAGGGAAAGAAAAAAAGGGAAATTTGTTGTTGTCACTCTCCCTCCACAGTCAGATGCTAATGTATTCAACAGGGAATCTAAGAATGAAAAAAAATTTTTGAAGATATGTACCAGAAACTAAGGTAGAGGAATGTTAGCTGGTAGCCCCAAGTCTAAACGGTAGATATATACAATTCCTTACCCCCTGCAGGGGGAAAGGCAGGAACCAAAAAAAGGATCTTCACTGAGTGGAGGATTCTATGTGACTGAATTTGCTGTTCCCCTTCTTGACTCTCTGTTCTCAGAATCACAGAGTGCCCCCTCCCTGACAAGTGGACTGCAGCACCTGGGGGCGGGGGCGGGGGCGGGCCGGGGGGGGGGGCGGGGCGGGGGTAAGAGAAAACAAGAGAGAAAAAAAGGAGACAGAGAAAGATAAAAACATCAACAGCCATCTTGCCAAACTAACAACTGAATCTATTACAGGAAAGAAGGAAATTAATTGCACTAACCAAAATAGAAAGTAATATAAACAAAAGTTACCTCTAAACAAAATAGGCCTCCTCCCCCTCTGACACACTAACCAAATATCACACAGTAAACATTAGAAAAGAAATTTAACTATGCCTGTTAATTTCTAAAATGAGAAGTTGTCATTCTAAAAGTTAGAAAATAAATACTCAATCTCCGTCACTGGAATTTTAGAGTGTTTTATTCCAAATGAATATCTTAAAGTATTCTGACAATGAATTTTTTAAGAAACAGAAACAAAGACCTTTAAACTGCCCAATGCTGTGAAAGAAATGAGATCTAGATGGCATTTAAATTCTAATGGTTAGTTAATAATTATGAACTTCATTAAATAAAACATCAAGCCCACAGAAAAGGAGTACCTTCCGTATTAGGCTGCCCATGTACTTTCCATACAGATTGAGAATTTAATCCAACTCCCCAAAAATGTGAGAACGATTTATGTAATTAATGGGAAAATAACAGCATGCTGAAAGAATTTACATCGAAGTTACATTCAACACGGTTAACGTAATAACCTCACTCATTGAATACAATTAACGCCCTATCTCTATTCATACCCACAAATGGGATAAGATACTGGGATTACAAATCTGCAATCACAGATAAGGATACATTAGTAAGGCAAATCTGAAGTTACAATCTCCTAACTATTTGGGGGTTTTTTAAAGGGAAGGGGTGGGGAGGCAAGATTTGCATCATGGTCAAATGCTGACCAAAAAAAAATTTAATCAATGATTTGTCACCCCATTCTCATCCAGAGGGCTGTCAAAAGAGAAAAAGGAATGACCGTCAGACTTTCTAAAATCTTAACGCGTCAGGAGGAAAACAGGGAATTTAAGCCATACTCAAGTCCAGGACGAACACATCCTCCTCCCTCGGTCACACCACAGGAATGTCGTCTGATGGAAGCAGGGGCAGGAGAGATTACCACCCTCTCGAGGACAGGTTGGCACAACGCGTGTTCTACTCCAACAAGCATTCCCAGGGGTCACCACACCCCCTCACAAACAGGGGGAAGCACACTTCACGCCCGAGGTCGCCGCCTCTCCAACAGTTCTCCCGTCGCACGCACGCGGCTTCATCAGCCCCCTCCCAGCACAACGACCGGCCCGGGCTCCCCACCGCCTCCCGCTGAGGAGCGGACGGACCCCCCACCCCCACCCCCACCCCGGCCTTCACAATCTCCGGCGCGCCCGGCCCCGCTCCCTGCCCCGGCCGAGCCCCGGCTCGTCGCCGAGTCCCTTCGGCCACAGTCGCCCACTGGGGGCAGCGGCGCGGGGGCGGGCGCGCCTCCGCCTCACGCCACTACACCGAGGGAGAGAAGCGATCGCACCGCTCACCTGGCTCGGGCGGCTCCTCCCTCGCTCTCTGCCAGCGGAACCGGACTGGGGCCTCCGAGGGAACCGCGGGCTGCGGGGCGGGCTGGAAGTCCGAGAAGGAGGGGGGGAGGGGGAGGGATGCCGGGAGCCGCCTCCTTTCTCCTCCACCGCCGCGGCTCCCGCAGCCAGGCCGGGCGCCCTCGCACACTCGCCCACTTTCTCACAGCCTCGCGGTCTGTCTGGATCTCCCTCACCCCCACTCCCACACACACTCGCCCCCACCCCCACACACACTCACACCCGGCCGCTCCTCGCTCCCTCGCTCCCTCACTCTCCTGTAGTGCGCGCGCGCGCGCGCGACCCCGCTCACACACAGCGCGCGCGCCGCCGGCGGAGACCGCCCCGAGCTCCCCCAGACCGAGGCGCCGCGCGCCGCCCGCCCGCGTGCAGAGGACCCTCGCGCGCCCCGGCCCCGCCCTCCAGGCGCGGCGACGCGGCGGGCAGCGGGGTTGGCCACCGGCGTGAGGGGACGGGCCAGCCCGCGGAGCCGGGCCTAGCGGATCCAGCACCTGCGTCGGGACCCGCCCTCCGGACTCCGCGTCCCCACTCGCAGCCATCGCCGGCCTCTCGGGTGGTGAAGGGGCGATGGAGAGCGCGCGCTAGGGGGGAAATGGGAGCGCGAGAGCGCTTCGAGGACGCGCTTTCCCCACCCGCCCCCAAATCATCCTCACTAAGGAAGGGAAACGGGTGGGGGGGGGGCGAGGTTTGTTCCCAACTCGAAACCGCGAGATTGATTCCTTCCGTTGTACACCCTCCCCGCCCTCACATTCCCTCATCGGGCCCCATTCATACACAATGTGAACCCTGACGCCAACCCACCAGGCCTCTTGGGGACAGTGTGCTGTCTGCGTGTCCACGCCTCTCTGTCTCCTGCCCTGCCCAGCCCAGCCCACCTCCCGCGCAGCCTTTCCGGCGACCTCGCCTACAGTCCCCTCAAGCCGTGGTCCCCGCCCCCCCCCAGAAGCAAAGATTGGGAACAAAGATCAATACCTATAAGGTCCTTATCCGCGTACGGAATAAAGACATTGCCTCTGTACATTGTGAGGCAAATTTTTAAACTACAGTACATCATATATTCTCAGGGCTTTAAGCAGGTTTTTAAAGATAAAGACAGGGTAGTGTGGTGCAGCCAGCTTTGCTGCTTGGAAACCAGTATAAACCTCCGGCAAATCAGTTCCTTAACTTCCTCCGAGCCTTTGTTATGAAAAGCTAAGAGTATATTCCAAGGTTGCTGTGGGGGAATGAAATATATTTAGGAGCATTTTGAAAATCCTCAAGCTGTCTATAAAAATAAAATTATAGTCCAAAGAAAGCTAAGAATATGAGTATGTTCAGCTACGATACTACTGTTAATTTTTCTAGATCATGAAGAATGAAAACAAAGGCAACAGACGACCGTGCCACCTACATGACAAATTCATTTCTAAATAACCTTGGTCATTTATTACCACCAGAGATCCCAGATATGAGCTACCATAATGTCCTAACCAGTTTGCCTTCTTGCAAGTCACATTCCATTCTGAATGGCCTCAGCCAACAAATTCTTTTCAGCACTCAGTTCCCAATCTTTTTGGTCTGCCTTTTTTTTTTTTTTTTTGGCTGATTTCACTCAGTACTTAGTCCTTTAAGAGATACAGCATAACCCAGGGTGGTAACTTCTGGACTGGATCAGACTTACTTATGTGATCTTCTAAAGTACCCTGACTTCTCTGCATCTTAATCTACTTGATTACACAAGCTGTCTATAAAAATATTTTATAGAAACTATAAAAGTAGTTACTTCGTTGAATTGGTATAAAGAGTAAATGAGCTAATAAGTGTGTAAGACTTAAGGCCTGGCACAAACTGAGTGCTATTGTGTTTACTGCTGTTAATGTTTGCCCACTTAAAGTAACCTAGGATAGTGAACAGTTTTCACAAAGAACACATTTAGAGGAACAAATGTGCTATATGACACACTACCTTCAGAAGAAAGGGGGGAGGCGCCTGGGTGGCTCAGTTGGTTAAGCGACTGCCTTCGGCTCAGGTCATGATCCTGGAGTCCCGGGATCGAGTCCCACATCGAGCTCCCTGCTCAGCAGGGAGTCTACTTCTCCCTCTGACCCTCTTCCCTCCCGTGCTCTCTATCTCTCATTCTCTCTCTCTCAAATAAAAAAATAAAATCTTAAAAAAAAAAAGAAAGGGGGGAAAGTTTACAGAGCTAAAATGTTGCAATTTCTTTCCACCCTGATATTCAGTCTCCTGAAACAAAGTATATTCAACCTAAAGACAAAAGAGAAGCATTTGATCACAGAGATATTAACACAATGACAATCTGGCAAAAGATAAAGGGAGAAATTGACACAGGGAAAAGGTTGCATGACTGGGCAAACAGATTATCGATAATACCTAACCTTCAGTCCTACTGTTAAGAAATCCAATTCAGGGTAACAATGCATCACCCAGGAAAAAAAAGGGTGAAACTGTGGGTAGGGAGTATTAGACTATTAATTCACTGGCCACCTGCCTTTAAAAAAAATGCTATCTATTCACGTACTGTCATTATACACCAGACACATCCAAAGAAATTCATGATATACACAACATTGCTTTCCACTTAAAGTAGTCAGAAAGAAACAAAACACAGAACTATGTTGCTGTGTTTTTTTTTTTTTTGATGTTATCTATTTTAGAGAGTGTATGTACTGGCATGCGGGTGGGGGGAGGGGCAGAGGGAACAGGAGAGAGAGAATCCTCAAGCTGACTCCCGGCTGAGCACGGAGAGCAATGTAGGCTCAATTTCACGACCCCGAGATCATGACCCCAGCCAAAATTAAGAGTCTGACACCTAATCTACAGAGCCACCCAGGTGCCCCTTAAAGAACTATGTTCTTAAAAAAAAAAAAAAAAAAAACAAGTAGGAGCGCCTGGGTGGCTCAGTCAGTTGAGCATCTGACTTCATTTTGGCTCAGGTCATGATCTTGAGGTCAAGGATCTGACTTCATCAGGTTCCTGCTCACCATGGAATCGGCTTGAGATTCTCTCTCCCCCTCGCCCTCTGCCCCTCCCCCACTTGTGGGTATGTGCTCTCTCTTTCTAAAATAACATCTTAAAAAAAAAAACAAAGCCAAGGATATGGCTCATTTTAAACCAACTATTATATAATATTTACATCAATGATGATCAAATTCCTACCTTATATTTTTGTATGAAGTAATGAGGGAGAAGCAATTATTTTTGGCATTTCCATAATGAAAAGCAAGGTCCAGAAGGCTTGGTTTCCTAGACTCAGTCATAACCTTTGTACTTTCATGGCTGATATGTTTAGACAGGTATGGACTCACATCTCCTTTGGGTAGCAATGTATGCTCCAAAGTATTTTGGGGCACCTGGCTAGCTCAGTGGGTAGAGCATGAAACTCTTGATCTTGGGGTTCTGAGTTCGAGCCCCATGTTGGCGGTAGAGTTTCCTTTTAAAACAAAAGAAGTATTTTAAATAGCTTGTCTTGGTTTAATTGTGCATCACTCATTTTTAACCACTAAGTTAATATTCTTCAGCCAGTTGAATCCCTTGAGAAGACATAACTAGCCTAGCACCTTTGGAGTCAGATAAATTTGACTTGAAATCCCAGCTTTATTAGTGGCATGTGATTGTTGCTTAAGTTCTATAAGCCTCAGTTATCAACAAAATAAAGATAAGGTAACTCAAACATAATGTACTACATAGTAAGTGCCCCCAAAATATTAGCTATTGGAGCAGCTCGCTGGCTCAGCAGGTACAACAGATGACTCCACTTGGGGTTGTAAGTTTGAGCCCCACATTGGGTGTAGAGATTTAAAAATAAAATCTTAGGGGCACCTGGGTGGCTCAGTTGGTTAAGCCTCTGCATTCTGCTCAGGTCATGATCTCAAGGTCCTGAGATCAAGCCCCACGTCATCCAGCCCCACGTCAGGCTCCTTACTCAGCTGGGAGGCCACTTCTTCCTCTCCCTCTGCCCCTCCCCCCATTGGTGCTCTCTCTCAAATAGATAAAATCTTTTTTTTTTAAAGATTTTATTTATTTGAAAGATAGAGAGATACTGAGAGAGCAGGCATGGGGAGGAGAGGGAGAAACAGGCCATATATATATATACATATATATATATATATATATGTATATATATATATATTGCGGGTACCTGCGAGAGCAGTCGGTTGAGTTCTGAGTTCAAGCCCTGTGTTGGGCTCCATGCTGGGCCTGGAGCCTACTTTAAAAAAACTGATTAGGGGCACCTAGGTGGCTCAGTCGGTTAAACGTCTACCTTTGGCTCATGTCCTGATCCCAGAGTCCTCATGCTATCTCTTGCTCTCTCTCTCTCTCTCTCGAATAAATGAAATCTTTTAAAAAAATGAATATAGGGTGTTATATGAAAACAATGGATCGTGGATCACCACATCAAAAACTAATGTATTAGTTAATGTATAAGTATTCTATGGTGACTAACATAATAAAATTTTTTAAAAAATGAATATATATCTAGATAAATATGTAAATATAGACATAAATATAGGCTATTATACAAGACCAATAACAAAAGTCAAATATCAAAGAGAAGTTAAACAATGTTTAAATATGTGTAATAGTACAAATAGTTACATATTTACTGCACGCCCGATGCATGAGTAATATAAGACTGAACTGAAAAGCATCTTTTACCTAAGCCAAAACATTTCTATATTTGTGCTCTCCTTCCTAGACACATTAGAATCAATGGAGAGCTTTTGAAACTGATTTAATCAGAATTCCTGGGATTTCGATCCAGGCACAAATATTTTTTAATGTTCTCCAGGGAATTTTAATATGCAGCCAACCTGAAGCAAGGTTTGGACAACACACGTTAAATTAACTATACATATGACTATATTGAAATGTGCACATTATCTAGATACATTTCATTTAATCAACCAGATTAGCTGATTCAGAATATGATGGCTAGATTTGCAGCAAAAAGCACTTTTATTTATTTATTTTTGAAGATTTTATCAGGGGCACCCGGGTGGCTCAGTTGGTTAAGTGGCTGCCTTCGGCTCGGGTATGATTTCAGGGTCCTAGGATCAAGTCCCGCATCAGGCTCCCTGGTCATCAGGGGGTCTGGTTCTCCCTCTCCCTCTGCCCCTCATGCCCCTCTCCCTGACACTCTCTCTCTCTCTTTCTCTCTCTCTCTCTCTCTCTCTCATGCGTGCATGCACGCTCTGTCTCAAATAAATAAAACCTTTAAAAATAAAATAGATAAAATAAAGACTATTGAA